TCAGAACAAAAGGCAGCCGATTGGGATTTCAAAAGGAAAGCTTCATATTCAATTTAATTTCAGAAAGAATTTTCTAAAGATTAGAGCTGTTTTTTTTTTCTTCTCCACCCATTCTTTTCATTACACTCAGTGAGAACTATCTATGTGTCAGGTGCTGTGCTGAGCACTGATGATGGAGAATATTTGATCAGCCTATTGTTATTATCAGCTCTATCAGCATATAATTACCATACTGTTGAAAAAAGAAAATATAGAATCAGGAATGGACTTATATAAGAAATTAATAAGATCCAGTCTGCCCCCAGGATGTTTACAGTCTAATAACATTGATTTTGAGAATTGTGCTGTTTTCTGAATGTTAGCTCTGTGCCTGCTCCAGGCACCATGCTATGTGTATTAGGTGCTATGTTTCTAGTCCTCAGTGCTCCCCCATGAAGAAGGCTGTATGATCTAATTTTCAGATTGGAAAACTAAAACCACCTGCTGAGGCTTCTGGCACAAGGAGCATTAAGTGCTAATGCTCCTTGGTGAACTGAGTGGGGATTTTACATTGTGCACCCTAAGTTAACAGTTGACAAATCTGCAGTAGAAAGGTTTCTCCAGAATTTCTTCTCTGCCACCATCCAATGCAGAACCTCACCCTTTCTGGCTACTCACCCACTCATGGGCTGCTTTTCTCCCTTTTATGTACAGTAAAGTTCCCCTGTACTGAAGCTTTGATGCCAGACAGTATTCCTAACCCAAGGACTCTGAGCTTTTTTCCCAAAGAAGGAGAGCATAGAAATTTCTGTATTAGAGCAAAAGATTCTGAATCCATCCTGTAAAAGATTCCCTGCCATTCTGCTGCTGACACCCTAAATGGGACTCAGGGGTGCTGAGATGGTGAGCCCTCAGCTCTCAAGTAGCCAGTGTTTTCCTTGGTGTAGCCAGTGTTTTCCTCAGTGAGCTACAATTTTCTGTATGTGCCATGACTTTAAAAGGACTGGGAAGCACCACTGTGAGTCATTGATGAAATGTCTAGGGCTGGTTGGTGCCCATAAGTGAGAGAACTTAACCTTGGGAGAATGGGAGATAAAGGCAAATGGGACAATGAGAAGTACATGGAAAGGCTGACCAGGGTCACAAGAGTGATTGGTGACCTTGGAAGAATGAAACCTGCTGGTCCATCCAGAGACCCAACCCTTGAACTCATTAGCAAGGCCCTGTTGGCATCTGTTCTCACAGCCACAAATGTGAACTTAGTCTTGTCAAGATCAAGACTGTCAACTCATTTGAGATGCAAGGTCAGCTTGCCACTTTGAACTTTGTTCCTATCACAGCCATTTAATTACGTTGTAGTTCTTATAATTCTCTCAGAAAAAAAAAAAAAACTGACTTCAGAAGTACAATATCTTATACTTTCTCAGGTTACAGTATTTTTATGAACTGTGAGAAACTTACAGCACCTTAAAGAAAGTACATAACAAAGGGGTCAGCATTTTTCAATATAAACTCCACCTCCAAAGGTTGATGCAATTCTGGAGAAATTTGCTTGAGGGTGAAACTTGGCATATGGTGTCTGAGTCCCTGACTGTCTACACCTCTTTTCATAGGTACAAATGAGTTCTTCAAATTCACTACATTTGGCATCTGTAATTATTAGAAATAAAAAATGACTTTAATAGCAAGTGGTTTGTGAGTTTAGTGTCACAGACTTCTCAGAGAATCTGAGAACTCAGGAATACCAAAAGTCCTGTTTTATATATTCTGGTATGACAGTATTGTAAAAGGAAAGAAGGGAAAGAAAAATGATTTAAGGAGACAGAAACCAGAAAATTTTGGTATTTTCCAAAGAGTACCAATACTTAAACAGCCTTCATCATTTTTCCTACCCAATACCCCTCCTTACCCTATTTTCTGTCTTGTGTTATAGGCCAGGCCAGCACACACAGGCTTTGGTGTCTGTGGCTTTTCCCCAGAAGCTCACTAAAGAGGCAGCCATGGATCTCATTTTGCTTTTTGAGTCTCCATTTGAGAGGATTGGATTCAGTGCTCCCCATCAAATACTTGTAGGGGAGAGAGTTCTTAGACAAAGCCAGAAAAACTGCCCTTGAAGACAATGCCTATCACCTAGTCCAGAGAGCAAAGATTAAGGCCAGAAAAATGTTGGCATGGAAGTCTATGGATGCAACTGAAGAAGTCAGAAGGAAGAGTTACTGAGCAATAGTGGTTCTCAGGAACCATGCAGATCAGGGCGTGCAGGCATCTTGCATGATGGGGCAACAACCACCTAGACACAGAGAATGTCAACAGTAGACTCAGACCTCAGGATGGGGAGCAGGAGAACCAGCTAGAATTCAGGCACCTGCTCCAATTCCATAGGAGAAGCTGAACTCCTGCTTAGGAGCAGAGGGGCATTCTGTGAGCTTTGCATTCACAAGGCTGCCTCAATGGCTATTAAACGAGTGGACCCCACATCTGGATTTATCCGTACTTTGGGCAAGTATCAGGATAGCTTGATGGTTAAGAGCATGGTCTTTGTAAATACATCTGACTGGATTCAAATCCAAACTCTTTTTTTATAGTGCAAGGCCTTGGGCAAGTTACTTGGACCTTTTGAGCTATGATTCCTCATTTGTAGATGGTGATAATAGTTCTTACCTTATAAGGTTGGAAGATGAAGACTGATGCAAAGAAAGGAGTAAAGTCCTTTGGCCACAATAAGTAACCGGATTTGATGATGCATGCCCACAAAAGGAAAAGAGCTCCACCTGCCTCCTCCTGCTGAGCACTCTTTAGTTCAGGTGCAGTCCTGAAGGTGCTGGGAGTAAATTATTACAGGAGGTAGCCTGGGGCACGTGGAGACTAACACGCCTCCGCTGCTGTGTGCCTTGAGTCCATTTCCCATTCCCGGACACTGGACCAGTTCTGATGAAGACCCACGTGCTCCTGTATGATATTGAAGTAGTTCAGCCTCTTAGAATTGCCCCAAGTACAACGCACAGATATGCTAAAGCCGAGGGGTTTTGTGTTTCTAGGCTAAAATGAAAAAAGGACCTCAAATTCTGAATAGCAGGGTCTTTTTTTTTGAACTCTTCTGGCAATGCCTCCCCATGCAAACATCTGTTCATTTTCAAAAAGGCCCTTCTGTAACAATCAGGTCCCCTTAATTGAGGAGAAAATTAATGGAGAAGATAAAGAATAATCTTTAAAATTGATAGAGAATAAAGCTGCCCAGGTGGAGGCCTTGAAATGAATGGAGCTAAAACTTAGCCCTTGTGATCCTGCAAAACAAAAGCCTAACCCAGAACATAGTCATATGAATCAAGGCCCCTGCAATCCCTAACCAGTATCTGAGATCAGATGGCATAGGAGATGGCTAAATGCAAGAGCGTATCTGCATCTTCCCACTAAATATCCCTTTGAAAACAGAAGCTTCTCCTTTGATAGGGACTGTCTTCCCAGTGTTTCCAAAACCAGCATCAAACCTACTAGAACTTACAACAACCACGTCTGTCCACACCCCTACCCTTTTGTTTTTTTACCTTACTATTAGGAAATTCCCAGAATTCTTCCACTCATTTACAGCAAAGAGGTTTTGAGGAAGAGGGTAGGGAATGGACAGATTTGGGAATTCTGATACTAGTTGCTCAGCATCAAAGGTGATTATGTAAGAAAAGCACTGATGGATAAACTATCTGCTAATATCTAATATATATACTAAGTATTTTGTGTATGTCACTGTTCATTATTTAATTCCTCCAGCCACTTCACAGTATGCTTGGTGTCATTCTCAATTCTAGAAATTTGCTGGCAAACATTTTTATCCTCACAGCAATCCTGTGAGGAACCTGAGACCTCAAGAGGTTAAGAATCCTGTGTTGGGGTCGTGTAATAGTTATTGACTTTACCATTTTCCAAACCATTGTTCACTGTAAAATATTCACTGTTGAGCCTCTTGATGCAAAGATTATGCCCTATTCCGTTATATTCTCTGCCATGCCTAAAAGGGTGCTGAATTGTGCCTCTTACTTAGTCTTAGATGTATAAGCTGCTGACAAAAACTTTACTAAGGATGCTTTATTCGAAGATTGTCATATAAACCTGAGACTTTTGGGGTGACAAACAGATCTTGGAAGCTGTCTCATTGGCTTTGGTAAATCATACCACCATTTTAGAAGTGAAATACATAATAAATTTTTCAGATACTGAATTTTTATCTGTGTATAAAATTTCTTAAAGATGAGACACAGCAGAATATGTTACCCCCATATGGTGAAACCAACTTGATTTGTTTTAGGGAGTAGTGAGATCTCTGGGAGTGACAAGATATCTGAAGGTACTAATGGGTTTTGTCACTGCATAAAGTCACTGAAAGACATGAAGTGGCTCTGTGGTCTTCTCAACAAATTGACTTCAAATGGCACGTGGGCCAAATGAAGCCCACTTGATACAGTGATGTTATCATGGGTAAGGTATGTTTGGGGATGATCCCTGTAGCATGTGAATTACTTGCCCTTACAATTAAATTTGAGAGGCCAGAGACTCCGTTAACTGACAAGTGGATGATAATTCATGTAAGAGATGCACAATTACCTTTGTCAGGACATCACTTCAATGTGTTATGTGTGCTCATTACTCATCATATTTCAGTTAATAAATTTCACCTAATTGGTTGAAGTCATATGATTCCCAGTTGAAATAAAGCTTACCAAAAATATGTTTTGGTCTCTAATGACTGTTCTTTTTGTATGATAATTCTGGAGAACCAGCCAGGAAAATGTATATGTGACTCTCACTGCCAGGAATGGCTGGCTGCCTTACCTCATATTAAATGAAGGGAGTATCTCCATGTTTAATTAAATCTTATGATGCCACTCACTGGAAATTTACTACCCCATTAATAGTATTTCTTCCTTCTAGATATCTCCCTTCCTCCAGATTAGATACAAATACCTGTGATACTTTTATTCCTTTATGTGAATATTCTTTAATCCTCACTATGTTGTTACTTTGTCTAGAATCAAACTGCCTGATGAGGACACTGGACAGTGGGATCGGAACCTTCCCACTCCCAGACTCTGGAAATCGCTCCACAGGGCGGTACATATGCCACCCAGACTCCCCAGAGGACACCGAACCCATCCTGCCTCTCCAGCCAACACTTTGTGCATCTTCCTCTATCAGAGCTCAGACCCTTGAACGAGAAGTGCCTTCCTCTGCAGACAGCCATGTCTCTGCAGATAATGCCATTGTTCATTCCACATCCGACCCCATCATGACCACCAGGGGGATGCGTCCTCTTGAAAGTCGCCTCCCCAAACCAGCCTCCTCAGGTAAAACACCTATGACCTTCCAAATTAGATTGTTTCCACACCAAAATAATGCACTTGCTAAAAAACAA